AATAGGTGATTCTAAAAAGTTCCAGTAACCAAAATGGCTAATTATAACAATAAAATTGCTTATGTCCAGATTAAATAAGATATGATCATCCCTGAAATTACCACCAAAAAGTATAGCAAATTTCCCAAAGTGGGTTTACAAAAAAATACTTTTGTTAAAATAATAGTAAACTTCTGGTAAACATCCCTTAATTTTATTTAAGAAAATAAAGACACAATGGGTAGCCGAAGCTGGTTTGGCTCAGTGGTAAAACGTCGGTCTGCGGACTGAAAGGTCCCAGGTTCGATTCTGGTCAAGGGCATGTATATTGGTTGCGGGCACATCCCCGGTAGAGGGTGTGCAAGAGGCAGCTGGTCGATGTTTCTCTCTCGACGTCTCTAGCTCTCTATCCCTCTCCCTTCCTCCTCTCCGTGAAATATCAATAAAATATATTAAAAAAAAAAAAAAAAAAAAGACACAATGGGTAGATGCAAGTCCCTTGGGATCTGTGACATAGGCCACACTTCAAAGTGCAAAACGTGTGGATTTCTAGTTGGCCAGGTCACATGGTTTATGGAATAGTGGAACTGACTTCCAATACTATTTTCTTTTCCCAGGGAACTAAAAAAAGCTACCAGGTTCAAGTGAAAATTAGAGAAAAGACTGTCCAAGGTTGTCAAAATAAGTCACATAATCAAAAAGCGAACAACCTTTATTCTAAGCCATACTTTAGCATAAATCAAAACTAAAATAAAACTAGTGCTTTTAGGCCACCTCTAATCAACTCTTTATTCATTCAGGCCACGATGAGAGACTATTTCATGAAAGCACAAGCAAAGCGGTCTAATTTCAGCATTATTCTGAGCTAGATACATAGTCACTAAAAAGAATATAAATGAAAGTTTTATCTAACAGGTGCCACCATTTTCCCTTTAGTAAGAATTTATAAGCCTGTCTATGGTCCCCAGAACTTCAATATCACAGTATACAAATGCAAATCCCAAGAGGAAATTTAAAGCAGAAATCCTTACCTAATAATCTAGTACCAAATAGCGAACATTTTACTTGATCATCAAGTTAAATCTACAACCTCATCCCACACAAGACATTGCCAAGTTGCTAACATTCATTCCTAAGGTTTTTAAACATTTGTGAAAGACTATCATGATTATCTAATGCCCATTTTTAATAATTATGCAGTTAGCTAAATCTTATATTCAAATAAATGTTGAAGTTGCTTCTTTTTCAAAGTTCAAGATTGCTTAACTGTATGTAGTTCCTGCAGAAATTATTTTAAGTAGCACAAAAATAAAACTTCAATATAAAAGATAATCTTTAGATCAGTAGGTTTGACAAATGCAACCATTTACATAAAAGAAATAAGCCACTCAGCATAAACAATGGTCTACAATTTTAAACCTCATAGGAAGATTATTTCCATATAGATTCTAACAAATTGTTTTCTATAAAGTGCCTCATTTTCCACTAATTCATTACACTATACAAGGATTTTCAAATAAAGGGATGAAGAAAGTATCAGAGGATGGCAGTTATAAGCACAAAACATAACTGCAAAAAACTCACCTGGATTATGCTCTGATAAAAATATTATTCACTTCCAGATTAAGACTGTACTAAATGTATTATTAAACTAGGTAAGAAATTAATCTAAAAACAAGTCATTATTATTACCAAATAGTCTGTAAATCAAAAGAAGCCCTATACAAATCATTTAATTATGTTATTTACCCTAAGGAAATGAAGAACAGAAATGCTAACCTTGTTATGAATGTTTTATAGACCCTGGTTTCTATATGGTCATATCCTGTATCTTAATATGTCATTCAAATGTACATATGTAGGCATTTGGGTTTTTGAGAAAAAGCATCAGTTTCGGAGGTCAATCTGCTCCTTGCTACATGGTTTGGAGGCCTGACACATAGCTGCTTTGATGCCTTTTCTCCTTTATCTATTACTTTGGGGAAAATAGTACCTAATCCAGAATAGTGAAAATTATTTTTCCAACCTAAAGTGCAAACCAACTAATACTGTGCAGTAACCTACTCAAATAATTATTTTTGGATTATTCTTTTCACTGCTCCCCAGCAAAAGCTCAAAAAGTTGAGAACACAGGCATACACAAGTCAAGACCAACCTCACCATAAAAGCAAATAAAAGTATTTTTTTTAAGACCCAAGGTGTATTTATTTTCAACAAGTCTTAAAAAACCAAGATGCACATTGAACTAATCTCATATCTAGTAAGATACTAGATAAGTGAAGGGTGTTAAGCTCAGTAGAAAAGAACTAGACACTGGGCCATTCCTAGAAATGAAAAATTGTATTTTAAAATGTGAAAAGGTTGAATATGATGAGCCAATGCTGCCTATAGAAAAATCTTGCTTTATTTTATTTTCACTTTCTATCTGTGCGAATATATGTATTTCTACAGTATCATGTTTATTCCATCAGCAATAATGAAAACAAAGATACCAGAATTTTTATAGTGTTAAAACATGATGCTAAATACTATATATAAAAGTCCTGTTTTATTCAAAATTGCCCAAATTCTGATGAGCTAAACTTACTGAAGTGAACTTTCGTTTTCTGGGATTATACAGGAACTCCCTGCAACAAGTTACAAGCAGCATCTAGCATAATGCTACCTTCTCCAAAAACTTTTTAAACCACATTTGGTACAAATGAAGGAAAATTAGATAACTTAAACGGTACTATAATTGCTGAAAGTTATTTATCTGAAGCTTTATTGCAAAGAATGAGTCTTCAACTCTAGTTGTAACCCACTGCTCCGCCCACCACACATTTATAGAAGTAGAAACTATTTTTAACGCAGTTGCTTCATTTTTACAGAACATGTGGCATTGTTGATCCCTACCCACTAAATGCCAAATGCAGTGTTCCCTTCCAATATCCTTCAAAATCTCACACATTTCCAATGTCCTCTAGGATATAACAGCCCCAAATTGGATATCACTGCATCTAGTTAGTACCCTTAAATCTGAGTAAAAAGAACTCCTGTTTTGAAATGCATGGTTTAGTATTCACTTGTGAAAAATGATTTATAGGTTATCCATAATTTATCCTTTATAGTTACTGCAAAAATAACTCAGGTTAAGTTTGTTTTCTTTCCACAAGCTTAATATAAGCTACAGGAGTATAAGCTGAATTTCTCCTAATTATCACTGGCTAGGCCAAATGAAGTGGTTACCAAATAATCATTTAAACTGAACACCAAAACAGCCATGTGATTCAGTTATGTAAGTTTCTTTATATGAAGATGCTGCCAATTTTCAAATATTTGAGGTATTGAGGACCAACTGATAACATCAAATTTCATTTTAGTTTAAGACTACACCCTTCAGCAAGCCTAGTTTCCCAGTAACAGAAAAACAAACATTCCTACTCATACTATCCTCAAGCAACAGTCCTAAAGATGAATGCTGTTAAAAAGTAAAGTTAAATTTGACAGCCTTCTTGCCCTTCAACTACCCCGTTTCCCCAAAAATAAGACAGTGTCTTATATTAATTTTTTCTCCTAAAGTTGTGCTAAGTCTTATTTTCAGGGGATGTCTTATTTTTGGGGAAACATGGTAATAACAATGACATGATACTACACCAAGGTTTGCTTCACAAATGTGTGAACAAAACCTTCACCCAAGACATACACAGCATTCAGCATACTATGTAAAACGAGTATTAGTCTATATTGCCAGATTAAATTTTCTTCCAGAAATATTTTAATAAAAACTGGCCATTTCAAATAAACACCTATTGCATGTCCATCGATAAAAGAGAACCAGTAACAAAATAGAAAATTTACCAAGTGGCTATGATTTAAAGGAAAAAGACTAGCAGATACTCAAGCATATCAGCAAAGTCCAATATGAAAATCACATTCCTTCTTGTGGGCTGATTAGAATTCTGGATACCAAAATAAAATGCTGAGCTATTTAGGTCAAAGAACCTCTACAGAAGCACCTATCCTCAAGGCATTCCAGTTTGAGACTCAATTTCAGAGTACAGCATAACAAGTAAACAGAAGACGCATAGTGAAAGAGGGGTTCCACAATTCCCAACATACTCTGTGAACCTGAAAAAAAAATCTAGATTTTTTATTATCATTTTTCTTTCAACAATTGCCAAGACCGGAATCAAAGATAAATAGAAGGCACAACAGTTTTGTTCTGGTTTTGTGTTATTCGGATTGTGACGGGAGGGTGTTCTTTTTTGTTGTTGTTAACAAATACAAATTAAACATAAAAATAAATTCTACTCCAAAATAACCCCTAATAATTTAAGAAAAGTACATCAGTTACATTCTAGACATTTAAAACCTATCTGACAATTTAAATTTCAACAGTGAGAAGAGTGGATTTTATAATTGTTTTGTGATCACATATCAAAAGAAAAAACTTCACTAACATCTTTTATTCAGTTTTTATCCATATCAGCGAGAATCAAAATTGTCAAATTTTCCAATGGCAGTTTCTCCACACCAGAAGGTAGTCATGACTCTCAAAAGAAACAATTTTGGGGGTTTTCCTGCCTTCAAAATGTTTATCAAATCCTGTATTTCTCAAAGGCTTTTGAAACATGTAGAAAATAAGTAAGAAATATCCCACCAATGAAACATACCAAATGTCAGTAATAAGCGACACATTCCTTTGGGGAAATGGCTGTTTAAAAAAAAAAAAAAAATCCAGTCTGTATATGCAAAGTAAAGCAAGGAAATTCAGTCTTTTTTTCTTTTCTTCTTTAAAAATCCATTTTTCCTAAAATATCATTCCACAAAATTGGAAGTGAAGGAATAAAAGGTGAGGAGAGAAAAGAGAAAGGGAGGGCACACACACCATTAACACAAAAAGTAAAATTGTACAAACTTAAGCAGTTTATAAGAGACCAGGGTCATACTGCAAGATACCAAAGGATGGTTGAAGAAATCACCATTCTGCAGGAACAGGGCTTGTACTGCTGCGTGAAGATCAATCAGTGAAGAGCAATTCACTGCCTTGGAGCAATTCCCCTTCCCATTCCAAATCCTGGTTTCTGCACCATGCCTCCACGGGGAGGGCCTCTCATTCCGCCACCCAGCCCACCTCGAGGGCCTCCAGGTCCCCGCAGGCGGTTATCTCGCCGGTCTCCTTCCCGGGCAGCTCGATTCTTCTTCTCTTCCACATTCAGACGGACTTCACCCCTGAACATGATGGGCTGTAAGAGTCAAGGTGAGAAGACTTATACACAGTGCTGACCAGCGACCAACTGGCAAGGTTAAAACAAAGCTATTATACAGAACCAGCAGCTTACAAATCACCTACATCCTCACAGTTCAGTTTTACTTTTAAATTCAGAATACATAATGTTCCCATTAACAAAAACATAGAAAGGTGATCTGGTTTGCAGGAGTATGCAGGCAAGTTCAAAAATATCCATTTAAACAGCATAGGAACACAAGTAACTCTTTAATTGTACTTTATTAAAGTAGATCTTATTTTCCCAAAGAATTACATAAGTAGAATATTTCATCTTCGCTATGAATTCAAGGCTTAGGGAATAAAACCCCATCACCAAATGTGAAAGATTGTGCTGCACATGTTTATACAAAATACATAAACATCTCAAAAGCATTAATTTTATCTAAATACTAGTGTGTCCCCAAACACTGATTAGTGCACACTGAAAGGAAATTAATTAGAAGAAATTAATTAAATATTTAATATCGCTATTCGTGTCTTGCCAATGAAAAGAAAACTGGGCTGAAACCGATTTGGTTCAGTGGAAAGCACGTTGGCCTGCGGACTGAAAGGTCCGGGGTTCGATTCCGGTCAAGGGTATGTACCTTGGTTGAGGGCACATCCCCAGTGGGGGGTGTGCAAGAGGCAGCTGATCGATGATTCTCTCTCATCGATGTTTCTAACTCTCTATCCCTCTCTCTTCCTCTCTGTAAAATATCAATAAAATATATCTTTTAAAAAGGAAGAAAAGAAAATAGGATTCTACCAAGTCTCCTACCTAACTACTCTAGGACTTCTGTTAAGGATCAATTGATGTGGCATGGGAAAACGCTTTACAAACATTTGGTTAAACTGTAAAATGTTTGCACCCAGCTATAAAGCAAGTCTCCTGGGCTGAAGAAACTCCAAGGAGGCGAATCTCTAGGGAGAGGAAGCCAGTAATATAGCAATCTATATTACTTATGTTACCATAGCCACCGTTTCCAGGCGGGGCTGGGCTGTGGCCACATTTGGTGCCATGAGGTCTTAGCAGCGTTGGCTGCAATTTGGTGGCGTGTTACTCCAGGGCGGTGGTAGGCCTGTGTCCCATTGGGGGAAGCCAAGTGTTGGGTTTGTCCGGGACAGGTCGTTGGTGTCTCTTATTTTTAAATGGCCAGTGCACATTATGGCAGCTCCTGTGTTGAGCGTCTGTCCCCTCAGAGTCAATGCGTCAGAGTTACCCATAGGACTGACCAACACTTAGCCTTTCTAGCTCTCTCTCTCTCTCTCTCTCTCTCCCTTCCTCTCTGTAAAAAAATCAATAAAATATATATATTTTTAAAATTACCAACTTATAAATCAGGCTGCTATATTTAGTCAAAAATTTAATTAACTCACCCCTAATGTCTTGGCAGAGCCAAACCAAATAATTTTGTGGGCCTTATACAGCCCACGAGCCAAATGTTCCCCACCCCTGCTGTAAGGAAACAAAGAATTTAAGGCTCCACCACTAGATCTATTGTATGCTCGATGATGGATTTAGCCACAAAGCCTACTGGAGATTTCTACCCTGTTTACCTGAAAATAAGACAGTGTCTTATATTAATTTTTTCTCCCAAAGTTGTGCTAGGTCTTATTTTCAGAGGATGTCTTATTCTCGGGGAAACAAGATAGGTTCAATATTCTGTGACCTTGTTGAGATAATAAGCTAGTTTTCTCACTTCTCAAAGTTATGCAGGAGATGCTTCACAAAATAGTAGATTCAATGTACACATCTCACTGGCACTCAAGATAATGCACACCTAGAGGTTAAAGTTCACATAATATTATGACTACATCAAACTTTGCAACATATACCCATTAACATTCTGGAGAACCTCTGGGAAATAATGATGTACAACATTCCTATTACATAGTTAATAAAACTTGTAGTTTTAATTTGCAGAGATTGAAAGCAGATTTCTGGTTGCCAGAGGCTGGTTTGAGAGGATAAGGGAAGAGACTACTTAATGGGTAAGGGACTTAATATTTATGAAAATGTTGAACTTTTTTGTTTTTGTGTGTATGTTTTTATCTGATTTCTTCCCTTTTTTTATTTCAGAGAGGAAGGGAGAGGATGAGAGATAAACTCAATGATGAGAATCTGACTGGCTGCCTCCTGCACGCCCTCTACTAGGGAAAGAGCCTGCAACATGAGCATGTGCCCTGAACCGGTTTGCAGGCTGATGCTCAATCCATTAAGCCAAACTAGCTAGGGCTGATGAAAATGTTTTGAAAGTAGATAGGTGTTAATAAATGTTACTGTACTATAATAAAGTTATAGGGGTACCTTGTAAATTATATAAATGTCTAACCACTATGCTGCACACCTCATATTGAATGTCAATTATAATAGTAATAATTTTTTTAAAGAAACAAACAAGCCTTAGCTGGTTTGGCTCAGTGGATAAAGCATTGGCCTGTGGACTGAGGGGTCCCAGGTTCTATTCCGGTCAGGGGTACATGCCCCAGTTGTGGGATTGATTCCCAGTGTGGGGCATGCAGGAGGAAGCCAATCAATGATTCCCTCTCATCACTGATGTTTCTATCTCTCTTTCCCTTCATCTCTGAAATCAATAAAAATATATTTAAAAATAAGTAAATAAAGATAAAACATGAGCCAGTGTGGCTCAGGTGGTTCAGCATTGCTCCGTGCACCAAAAGGTTGATGATTTGAAGGCTGGTGGTTCGATTCACTATCAGAGCACATTCCTGGGTTGTTGGCTGGATCTCCAGGAGGGGGCCTTCAGGAAGCAGCTGATCAATGTTCCTTTCAAACATTTATGTTTCTCTTTCTTGTTCTCCCTCTACTTTTCTCTCTCTCTCTAAAAATCAATAAAAATATTTTTTAAGTAAGACTAATTTTGCTTTGTGAATTTTACCTCAAATTTTAAAAAGTGATGTTTATAAGTTCCCATACCCATCTCAGAAAGTTAACAATTATCTTTGTTCTTCTCTACTACCGTGTTTCCCCGAAAATAAGACATCCCCTAAAAATAAGACCTAGCGCAACTTTGGGAGAAAAAATTAATATAAGACACTCTTATTTTCAGGGAAACGGTACTAGTGCTACAGAAAGTATTTTTTGCTACTAATGAAAGATATAGGGGAAGGAAAAAGTTCTTTAGAATTATACAGACAATTCCGTTTCTACAAATCCCTCTGTAATTAGACTAACAATGACTTTTTTAAAACGTTTTTTTTTTATTGATTTCAGAGAGGAAAAGAGGGAGAGAGGGAGAAACATTAATGATGAGAGAGAACCACTGATCAGCTGACTGCCTCCTGCACACCCCACACTGGGTATTGAGCCCACAACCCTGGCATGGGCCCTAAAAGAGAAATAAACTCAGGAACCCTTCAGTCCGCAGGCTGACAATCTATTCACTGAGTCAAACTGGCTAGGGCAGACTAACAGAATTTTAGTAAAAGTGGTTTCAGGTAATGTGACTCCAAACCCAGACAATTTATACAATAAAAGGCAAAGCTCCTCCTAGTTATAACTAGGCAGCAGTTTTATTCCAAGACTACCTAGGGCAAACAGGCTCTTAAGCTATCTTAGCTAAATGCAACATTGCATTTCATGTTCTACAACAGAAGCCACCACCAAGAAAAGGAATTTGCATAACTCTCAGTGAATCGGGAATTATTCTCATCATTCACTTATTGAAAAACTAAGTTTAGACAGAAGCTTTGTTTTTCTAAACTCTCAGGCAGTTCCTCTGATACGAAGGGTTGAACATCATAGAATATATTACCCAAACGTGTTGGAATAAATTGCATTTTACCTATCAGACATAGTTATAAGTATAAATATTCCAAGAGCCAACACGCATGCTTATAAACAAAAAAAAAAAAAAAAAAAAAGATGCTTACCCTGTTGCTAAGAACCTTTTGGACAGGCTCAGAATCATCAAACACCACGAAACCAAAATTGGGTAATTTCCCACCACTGTTAATGCGCAGCTCCACCACATTCCCATAATCTGAAAGTGAAATACAAATTCTCAAATAACTTATTAGGACATTTCTTTTAAATACACGCACACTGCCAATTTGACATGGCTACAGAGACATGAAATGTGGCTTGTTCAAAATAAGACATGCATTAAGGGAAAAAACATATGACTCTGAAGACTGAGAATAGAAAAATGTATACTACCTCTTACATATTTTTATATGTTGAAATGACAGCTTACTTTGTGTTAAATAATTACATATATGGCTCATCTATTTCTATTGAGCAGTGCTGCATTAGATGAATCTAGTGTTTAAAACTCAATCACTTACTTTGAAAGAAATCTTTAAGCTCTGACTTGTCGACCTCATGAGGCAGATTGCCAATGAAGAGTTGGTGACTGTCAGGGTGTCTCACGATTCTTCGGGGTTCAACATCACCTTGCTCACCAGCCTCACGGACTTAAGAGAAAAACAAAAGCCAGAAGGGAAGACACCTTTCAGTAACTATACCATACAGGTGTTTTCTCTTTACCCTAAATACAGGGAATTTCAACTCCTAGGTAATATTTTAAATCTAAGAAAACATTGAGTACAACCCTCCCGCGCCCCCCCCAAAGGTACCCACTTCAAAATTCCCCAAACTAGAAAGCCATCCTTCTGAGCTCTTACTTGGTCTAGGTCCCCTCTGGGGAGGAATATTTATCCGTTGTTCTCGAACTCTTTGATCCCTCTGAGGCCTCTGCGGTGGAATCTGAGATTCAGGCTTAGACTCTGGGCGAGGCTGAAACATTTGTAAGTTAATTTTTGTGTAAAAACAAAGCATGCTTACTTTTTTCTTGTGAAGTTTCTTAGCTAACAATAAGGTTTAAACTAGAATATGACAATTTTCTCTCACACACAAAAATCATTAAAAACTATCTTTTACCCTTCTCCTCTGGTCTTAAAATAGATTCCCCTTAATATGCAAGCTGAATTAGAAATTTACCTGTGAAGCTGGTACTTTAACAACATGAGGTGGTATCCCAGTAACCGGAACAGCACCACTGGGTGGAAGGTTCTTACTGGTCACAGATGCCCAAGAAAATGTCTAAAATAACAAACACCAATACCAGCTAATTATACCATATATTAAAGCAATATAAAAGCCATTAGTTCTTGATTTCTTGTACATGATATATGAGTCGTATTTTCATAGGCAGGGTAGTTTATAAGTGCTTGAGATTACCCTCCCCCCTCCCCATTTACAAATTTAGTATTAAAATTTCTTAGAAATGCTATGATACAAGCACTGATCCAATGTTATCAACTTTGGAATTATCTTAAACCCTTTTTCTATCCATATAAAAATCACCAAATCCTATTATTTAACTCATTTCTTTCTAATTATCTTCTTTCCATTTCCACTGCCATATCCCTAGTCCAAAATATCATTCATTTTCTCTCTCTCCAGAATTAATACAACAGCCACCTAACAAATGATCATTCATTCTCAATCCAACCAATCTACTTTTCTACCTGCAAGGCACTAAAACATATTTCTTCACAGAGTACCAAATGCAAAGGTTCTAGGAATTCAGTTATCATCATCCTGATGTGGCAGGAGTTACTGAAAAGTTTCAATATTTTGAAATCAGGTTTCTCATCAGGAAAGTAGTTACATTTCAACAGTTTGCTTCTACTCCTACCATAAAGTTATCCTCAATTATATTTCATCAAAAAAGGGAGGAAAATTTATTGTGTTAGATTTTTTTAAAAGACATAACTACTTGTTTATTATAATAAACTGCAATTTAAAAGATGAAGTTTTAAAAAGATGAGGGGTTGTTGATATGGTGATAAAATAACACCTGAAATTTCTGGTACAAAAAGTACTCAAGATTCCTTAGAGGGGAAAGAAAAGTTACTTTTGATTTTTTTTTTTAATATATTTTATTGATTTTTTACAGAGAGGAAGGGAGAGAGATAGAGAGCCAGAAATGTCGATGCGAGAGAAACATCGACCAGCTGCCAACGTACATGCCCTTGACAGGAATCGAACCCGGGACCTTTCAGTCCGCAGACCGACGCTCTACCACTGAGCCAAACCGGTTTCGGCTACTTTTGATTTTTTTATAAAGCAATATGTATCTCTTATTGAAAGCATGGCTCAATGTGGAAGAAATTTCCCTGAGCCACCAATATGAAAATGCACATACAGAAGTCAACCAAGCATAACAAAAGAGAGATTTAAAAAGTAAATGAGGGTAAAAATAAAGACATGTTACACACCCTCAAATCTTCCTGCGCTGTCTGAGCGATGTCTGTGGGTGCTGGGGAAGAACTCTTCTGAGCATCCTCAGGAGCAGTTTCCTCCAATACTGGCTCACACTTCTCCTCTTGGATTTCAGATACAGGTTCTTGCTCCGGTTCTGGTTCAGGATCAGGCTCAGGTTCAGCAACAGGTTCCTCTAAATGTTCTTCCAAGTCATTGCTTTCACAGAAAAATTTGAGAACTATCATTCTGCCTACACTGATTTAGCAAAAAATTCCCAAGTATTTATTAATTAACTATAGAGACCTGAACCAAAAAAAAAAAAAAATGTAGGAAATTCATGTCTGAGTATTAAAACAAGGCAATTTTTTTAGAAAAACACTCAATGAATCAGGCCAGTGTGGCTCCCGTGGTTAAGTGTCAACCTATGAATAAGGAGGTCATAGTTCAATTCCCAAGTTGCAGGCTCAATCCCCAGAGGCTGGGGTGGGGGTGGGAAGGGGTGTGCAGAAAGTAGCCAATCAATAATTCTCTCATAACTGATGTCTCTCTTTCTCTCTCTCTCTCTCTCTCTCTCTCTCTCTCTCTCTCTCTCTCTCTCTCTCCCCCCCCCCCCCTGAAATTATTAAAATATTTACTTTTAAAAACAACAAACAGAAAAGCACTCAATGAACAAACCTTAACTACAATTAGACTGGCTCAATTCTCAGAAGAAATGCATCAAAATGGATCAAAACTAGTATTACAATTTTCCAATCACACAACTCTAATAGGTTGTGAGGAGGGAGCAAGGGTAGTTGAGCTGTTCAATAGATAATTTGTTTTGTAGGATGAAAAGTTCCCAGAAATGTGTTGTACAACCATGTACATATAGTTAACACTACTATACATTACACTTAAAATGGTTAAGAAGGTAAATTTTGTTATGTGATTTTACCACACAAATAAAACCTCTCATAATAAAATAGGTAAAAAAAGATATTAGTTATGATTCAGAATAATAGTTCTTTTAACTTTCACATAAATCAGTTTGTTAAAGTTGTAGGTGTTTTCTCCCCTGAAATTCTAACTCAGTAGGTTTGTGGTAGAATAAGTCATTTTCAACCAGCAACGCAGGTGAGTACTGTGGTAAGTTCATCAGTGCACCTTAAACATATGAAAATATCCTTTAAGCACTGAATATTAACATTACTGGTATCACATGGGAACACATAAATATTGTAGTAATTTCTATTCCTATCAAACACATTTCTGTTCTGGTTGCAGATTTTAAAAAAAAAACCACATAAGATACAGTAGCACATTTATTGTCTCAGTTAATTATTGATATTCTTTACTGCTACAAATCATGTCTGAATTTCTATTTATGCCTAATCTCTAAACAAGTCCTAGTAACTTTATAGCCATCCTCTTCCCCAAAGCAATTAATGCATTGGCTTGCTAGGATGTATCCAACTCTTTTATACTTCTGCCCAGAAAAAAACTAAGCCAAAAAGCAACTGGTAGATACTATTTAAATAGTCCTCATAATACAAAGTATATTGAACATATTATAGACTTTTGAAAGCTCAAAGGTACCAAAAGTAAAACCTTTCTTTTGGGAAATTATCACTATTTCCTGAGGTAATTCTGAGATTACATGACTGCCCTCTAACAAAGGGCAGTCCAAACAACCCCAATTCTCAAGCAGCTCTGGACAGAAAAGGTTCTCCTTACCTGACAGTCTGATCATAGAAAGTTCCACCATCATCAGGTACCACTTCTGGTGTTTGCTGTCTTTCTTCAGGTTCCTCTACTTCTTCCTCAGATTCTAAGTGAGAAAAGAAACGTGAAGCACTTTATGCTTAATTAATTCACAAATAAATTCTCCTGCACAATGTTCATCATAATAAAAAAGGGAGACTTAAGAAAAGCAGATATATATTTAAAAAGTCAAGAAAATAAGGCAATTTAGTAAAATCATAGCATAGTTTTTAAGGATACTGTAGTGTCGAGTTAAGAATATGGAAACTGAAGTCATATTGCCAGTAATCCAATACAGACTGTACCACCAAAGCAGCTATGTGCCATCAGAAAATTACCTGTCTTTATTGCAGTGCCCTAATCTATTAAATGGGAACAACAGTGCCTAAAATACTCATCTATAAGGCTATAGGATTTCATAATAAATATAAAGCACTTAGAATCCTCTCAGCCGTACAGAAATTATGAGACAATTCTCCATATGTCTCTTGTGTCTCTACACATCTTAGAATTGAGGCAATGGCTATCCTTTGTTCCATACTATCTTTTAAGAACAGAGCTAACAACTTCAGAAAACAGTGTCTCCTTCAAGATACAAAGGCAGGCATGTTTACTGTCCATTCTAAAAGATCTGGATTCCCTAAACTTAAGGTTCCATTCTTATAATGCATCTCATTACAATGCAGGTATCATTTGGACTTCAATGTTCTGTGGAAATTGTGACCAAAATAATGCTACTTATTTTTGCTATAATAGCCTGTCTACTTCTGACTTCTACCACTATTCATACTACAAGTTGTTAATGAAAAATACAGAGTATAATGAAAACATTTATGAAACCCATATTCTTTCAGGTCAATTAATGCAATCAAAAAAATTTAGGCAAGTAACTTACCCTCCTGAGGTTCAGTGACAAAGCCACCAAAGACCTCATCTTGGTATCTGAAGATATCATTGTGAACGTAGAACTTATTTGCAACAGAGCCCTGCAACACCAACAAAAAGTTTTTACTTACACAGCAGACTTTTAAAAAACCAAATCTCCCTACACTGGCAGTTCTCAACTAAAGGCATTATTGCCCCGCCAAGGACCTACTTGGCAATATCTGCAGGCATTTCCGTTCTCACATAGGGAGTGCACCTGACAACTGAATAGAGGACAGGGATGCTGCTAAGCATCCTTAAATGCACAGAACAGCCAGCCACAACAAAGACTTGCTGGCCTAAAATATTAACTGTGCCAAGGTTGTAAAACCCTATTCTACATTATGGCTGCTAAAAACAACACTCAAATACATGGCTTGCTCGGTTTTAATTTTTTAAATTATAAGAAAAAGTTTATTTAGAAAGCTACATAAGCAGTAGAAGTGAGCCAGCTGAGCTGCATAAGCTCAGGAATCAAGTTACAGAGGCAGGAAGAGCACTTAGAGCTTAGGAGAGAGAAAGGCAAAGGTAATGTGCCTGGGGGGAAATGGGGAAAGAGTGGCGGGAGTGGAGAAGGGGAAGGGAAAGGCGCTGGCATGCACCCAAGTGATAGAGCCTCAAATATGTGGTTTGCTTTACATACCAACAGTTGGATGCCCAAAATGTGATAAAGCTTTAAGGATGTTAAGATGCCACAGCCCTCATCTCAAATCATTTCTTGAACAACAAATACCTATTGCCAACTTCAGCAGATATTTTAAATTCCCTAATTCTATACCCGAGACTATTGATACAAGCACTCAAGAGTGGGATAGCTGAAAAAGTTTGCCTACTAGAGTCTAAATTCAACTATGTCAACTACTATTCAACCTCTAAGACTGTTTCCTCATCTGTAAAAACATATACCTTAGAGCTTTCAGTATTAAATGAGAGACGTTCGCTCTTTTTCTTTTCTTTTTTTTAATATATTTTACTGATTTTTTACGGAGAGGAAGGGAGAGAGATAGAGATAGAGCCCCCTATCATTTTACTGTTTAAACATAAAATAATTCAGTTGTCTTTGAAAATTACGTCATTGTAGTCATAATTTTTAGAGTAAAGCTTTTATTATGTACAGTGTAAAATGGCCGATGACTTTTTGAATCTGCATGTTGTTAGTTGGAATATAAGAGAGGGAAAGTCGCCGAACCCGATTTGGCTCAGTGGTAGAGCGTTGGTCTGTGGACTGAAATGTCCCGGATTCAATTCCAGCGTTGGTCTGTGGACTGAAATGTCCCGGATTCAATTCCGGTAAGGGCATGTACATTGGTTATGGGCATATCCCTGGTGGGGGGTGTGCCTGAGGCAGCTGGTCGATGTTTCTCTCTCATCGATGTTTCTAGCTTTCTATCCCTCTACCATCCTCTCTGTAAAAAGTTAATAAAATATATTAAAAAAAAAAAAAAAAAAAGAGTAACGGTAAAGAAAACATTTAATCAGAAAGTCCTTATTGAGCCACTTCCACAGACTTAAGCAGATAGGCTTTCTGCCATGGTTCAGTCTGGACCAATTGGGAAAATAGTACAAAAGCAATTATTCATCATAAATCTGTGGTCCTTTAATAAGCATGATAACTAAAAAGAGCAAGGGCTTCTTGAAGAAAACAGCTGATCCAGGGCTGGGGCTGGGGCTGGAGCAGAGAGTGCAAGATGAGCCTGAAACATCTTCTGTCACAAAGTTACAAAGTGATTAAAAAAAAAAAAAAAAAAAATACAGAGGGGGGGGGGGGGAGAATGAGAAAGAGAGAGAATGGCTGGCTTAAAGGGGTTGACACCATTTCTGGGACATTTTAGACATTAATATAAAGTTACCAATGGATTAAATCCATCACACAAAACTTCATGAGTGACAAGAGATATGAGAAAAAGGCGACACTCTTTACAGTAGAATACCAATTAATATTGAATGACAGAATCAGATAACCATCATTTGTAACTATTTAGAGTAGCAGTTAGTCTGGCAAAAATAATCAATGAATGAAAAAACTAGTACAGGAGAATCCAAGATGGCTGCACAGGTAAACACCTAACCGCAGCCATACACAACAATTTCAATAAAATACAACTAAAATATAAAAATGGACATTACCCAGAACTACAGGAAAGTCGACTGACTGGAAATTCTACAACGAGAAGCAAGGAGAAAACCAGAAGGAAGAGTGGAAGAGCTGTAAAAGCCTAAGGTACAGAGACACACCGCGCAGAGAGGACGGAGCCGGAGAGGAGGGAGGCCGAGTGCCTGGCTGAGGTTCCCTAGCGGGAAGGAGATAAAAGCTCCGACTGTGCTGGGCCCCAGTTCTAGGCCAGACCCTGAGGACCCAGATTCATCCATAGGGAGCTGGGCTGTAAGGCGGAACCCCAGGAGAGCGGCGAAAGGAGGTCCCGGAAGTGCGCACATTGGGTGCAGAGAAGGGATGGTTGGCTGTGCCTAGGGATTGCCCTGATGGGAAGGAGACAAAAGCCCCAGACTGCTCTGAACATCACCTCCAATCCCACTTCCAACTGAACTGAACCCCAGTTCAAGCTCATTGGGGGAGAGCTTAGACTGTTTGGTAGCAGGCAAAAATCGAGGGCACCTTTCTCTCAGAGGTGCTTGCAACTAGTACTGAAGGACCCTGGGGATTACTGAGACTAGGAACCAAATAGGGCAGGGCTGACAGAAGCCAAGGCTGTAGGCTCCACCCTGAAACCCTGCCCCATCAGGGTAGCTGCGAAAATGCCGAAACGAAATAGATCACAAACGAAAGAAATGGAGGACAAAAAGGAACTGGATATAGAGTTCAAATCTACGCTTATAAGGTTTTTCAAGAATTTCCTAGAAAAGGTCAATAAGACCTATGAGGATATGAAAAGGGGTCAACTAGAATTAATAAGGAATCAACAAGAAATGATAACGGATCAACAAGAAATAAATACATTGTCTGAAAAAAAAATATTATACAGAGTCCTAAAAATAGAATGGAAGATCGCAAGAATCAAGTCAAAGATTTGGAACATAAAAAGCCAGAAGGCACTCCTCTGCAGAAGCAAGAAGTCAAGAGAATCCAGAAAATTGAAGATAATGTAAGAAACTTCTGGGACAACTTCAAGTGAACCAACATCAGAATTATGGGGGTCCCAGAAGATGAGAGAGCAAGATATCAAAAACATACTGCAAGAAAGTGACAGAAAACTTCCCCTACCTGGTGAAAGAATTAGACTTACAAGTCCAGGAAGCGCACAGGACTCCAAACAAAAGGAATCCAAAGAAGACCACACCAAGACAAATCATAATTAAAATGCCAAGAGCAAAAGACAAAGAGAGAATATTAAAAGCAGCAAGAGCAAAGCAGATAGTTACCTATAAAGGAGCACCTATACGATTGTCAGCTGATTTCTCAACAGAAACCATGCAGGCCAGACAGGAATGGCAAGAAATATTCAAGGTGATGAATAGTAAGAACCTACAGCCAAAGACAATCTATCCAGCAAAGCTATCACTCAGAATTGAAGGCCAGATAAAGAGCTTCACTAATAAAAAAAAGCTAAAGGAGTTCATCAACACCAAACCAGAATTATATGAATTGCTGAAGGGGGTTCTTTCAAAAGAGAAAGTAAATAAAAAATTATGAACATCAAATACGTAACTATCAACAAATGAATCTAAAAACCAAGGAAATAAAAAAAAAATCTGACGAACAATATTAACTGTTGAATATATTAGAATCAGAGGTATGGAAGGGGAGTGAACTGACGATTCTTGGGGTAAAGGAGGGGGGTTGTGGGAAGAGACAATATAAACTGTGCACCTATGGATGAGGACAATGGGGGGTGGGGAAAGGGCAGAGGGTGGGGTGGGAACCTGGTGGAGGAGAGCAATGGGGGGAAGGAACATTTCTAATAATATGAATAAAAATTTATTTAAAAAAAACAAAAAAAAAAAACCTAGTACATAAGTTTGATGAAGATCAGGGTATTTGGCCCTAACTGGTTTGGCTCAGTGAACAGAGCATTGGGCTGAGGACTGAAGGGTCCTGGGTTCGATTCTGGTCAAGAGTTCATGCCTGGGTTACGGGGTCTAAACCTAGTGCGGGGGTAGGGAGGGGGGGTGCTGCAGAAGGCAGCCAATCAATGATTCTCATCACTGATATTTCTCCCCCCCCCCCCCGCTTTCCTTTCTGAAATGAATAAAAATATTTAAAAAAAGAGAGATATTTGCAGTCTCAAAGAACCACGCACAATCTACACTAATAAAAGAGAAACATGCAAAGTAACTAGCACAAGCCAAACCCACCAGCCAATCAGGAGCAAGTATGCAAATTGACCCAACCAAGGTGGCAGCCAGCCTGAGCTGAAGCAAGCAGGGGGCTTGGGTTGCCCCAGCAATGGAGGAAGCCAAGCTTTCCAACCTGGAGAGCCCTGGCCTCAGCTCAAGGCTACAAAGTTTCAATTATAGAAGATAAATATATCCTAGATAACTTGCTTCCAGCTGGTCCTGGCCTCTGCTCAGGAGGGGGGGGGGGGGGGGCCGACCTGGGACCTTGGGTTGCAGTGTGTGTGTGAGAGAGGGGGGTGGGGGGGGGATATCAGGCCAGCAGGGTGATAGGACAGCAGGGGCCATTGGGCTTCAGCAGACACCCTGGGAAGCCAATTGGGGGTGAGCAGGCCGTCAGTGGGGTGGGGGCAGTTTGTGGAGTGAGCAGGCCAGCAGGGAGGTAGTTGGGGGTGAGCAGGCCACTGGGAAGGGAAGATGGGGGTGAGCAGGTGAGAAGGGGCAGTTGGGGGTGAGCAGGGTGGCAGGGGGGCAGGGGGGCAATTGGGGGCGAGCAGGCTGGTGGCAGGGGGCAGCTGGGATCAAGCAGGCTGGCAGGTAGAGTGGTTATGGGCAGCAGAGTGGATAGGACAATCAGACAGGAAGGCAGGTGAGCGGCTGGAACCAGCAGTCCTGGATTGTGAGAGAGATGTCCAACTGTTGGTTTAGGCCTGATCCCTGTAAACCAGCAGGACATCCTTCAAGGGGTCCCACATTAGAGTGGGTGCAGGCCAGGCTGAGGAATATCCCATCACTCATGCACAAATTTCATGCACCGGGTCACTAATTTATTTATAAATGAGCAAAGTAAAACATCTGAGTGTTGAAACCTGTTGACCATCGCCTTGCCTTAAGTGGCAAAAGTTATCACTAAGAGGATTAAAGGAAATCAAGAGCCTCTCTAATATGAGGCAATAAAGAACCTATGTATATAACTTTAATCACAAGAAGTATCAGACAATTCACACTGAAGCATTTTTACAAAGTAACTTGATCATACTCTTCCAAAATGTCAATGCCCCCAAAAAACAAAAAATAAAAAAGTAAACTAAAGAGCCGAAACCTGTTTGGCTCAGTGGATAGAGCATCAACCTGCAGACTGAAAGGTCCCAGGTTCGATTCCGGTCAAGGGCATATACCTTGGTTGTGGCACATCCCCGATGGGGGATGTGCAGGAGGCGGCTGATCGGTGTTTCTCTCTCATTGATGTCTAAGTCTCTATTTCTCTAACTCTCCCTTCCTCTCTGTTAAAAAAAAAAATCAATAATTTAAAAAAAAAAAAAAAAAGTAAACTAAAGAGACATCAAAGCTATACACAATGTGCATTCCTATAACTCAATCTTGGGTTGAGGAGGTGGATGAGGATTATAAAAAGGACATTATTGGGAAGATAACCAAAATTTAAATATGGACTATAGATTAATAACTATATTACAGTAACATTTCATGAATTTGATAACTATACTATGGTTATGAAATGCTCACTTAAGTATTTGAAGATGACTATGCATATTTCTAACTTACTATCAAATGGTTTAGAATATAAAATGTTAGGTTAATAGAAAAAAGAATTCCAAATGTATGGACAAGTGTTGACAGTGGCTCTAGGTAAGAAGTATGTAGGAGATATTGTACTGTTATAACTCTTCTTTAAATTGAAAATTTCAAAATGAATTTTTTTTTAAGAGATGCACAACCATTCACTTTCTTTTTTCATACCTCAGGAGCAAGGACAAATGTCTGCATGAATCTCCTCAAAGCCTGGTTGTTATTGGAGAGCAATCCCATCACCTGGACCACCACACCATCATTCAAAGTGGCATGAGCATCAACATGGCGAATCTTAGTGTGGCAATTGGTGAAGTTTTGTGACATCACTTTCCTATGGATTTCCTAAGGAATGAAAGCATAGGTTAATGCCTTAAAACTTACACAATCTCCAATATCAAAAAATTTCCCACATAACACAAACCAGCCGGTTTGGTTCAGTGGATAGAGTCTTGGCCTGAGGACTTAAGGGTCCCAGGTTCAGAGGCAGCTGATCCATATTTCTCTCGATGTTTCTAACTCTCTATCCCTCTTCCTTCCTCTCTATCTCAATAAGATATATACTTTTTTAAAAATTACAAACTATACAGACCCTATTCTGATTTGTCTTTTTATATGTAACAGCTTGAGCCAAACTGATGACATATGACAGGCAGCAAGATGTCAAATGCTCCCCTTTAATATAGTATCTTATAGGCCCAGTGCACAAAATGCTTCCATTGGGAAGGTGAAGAAGGAAGAGGGGGTCTCTCAGCCTGGCCTGAGCCCCCTTACAGTCCAGGACCCTTCACTCCTTACCTCTCGGCTCGCTGCTCCTTAGCACTACTGCAGAAATGGGAGAGGCTCCCCATACCACCACAGAAAACCATAAAGCCCATTTTCTGGCTGATTGGGGGCTGACCGCCAAGGGGCAGCTCCTGCGTTGAGCATCTGCCCCCTGGTGGTCAATATGCAACAAAGCAACCAGTCATTCTGCCGGAAAGGTCACTTAGGCTTTGATTATATAGATTCCTCGTGATAACCCAGCCTTCTAAATTATTGTTTTAAACAAACCTAAAAATATTTACAGCCCTTGCTGGTTTAGCTCAGTGGATAGAGCATAAGCCTGGGGACAAAAGGGTCCTAGGTTTGATGCTGGTTAAGGGCACATGCCCAGTTGCCCAGTGAGGAACATGCAGAAGGCAATCAATGATTCTTTCTCATCATTGATGTTTCTCTCCCTCCCTCCCTTTCTAAAATCAATAAAAATAGTTTAAAAAAATATGTAAAGTTTATAATAGATGACCCCATGCTAAAACCAATCATCTCATATATTAAGCTGTTAACCGAGCGGGACCTATAAATACGTCAAATGTAAACAATATTGGGAACGGGTAGGACGTATGAATACGTTCTTGAAATATATGTTGCGCCCCAAGAGGGACGGTATGTATTTTTTGTAATCTTTTCTTTTTTAAATATTTTATCGATTTTTTACAGGGAGGAAGGAAAGGAGAGGGAGAGTTAGAAATATCGATGAGATGAGAGAGAAACATCGATCAGCTGCCTCTTGCACACCCGCCTGGGGATGTGCCGGCAACCAAGGTACATGCCCTTGACCGGAATCGAACCAGGGACCTTTAAGTCCGAAGACCGACGCTCTATCCACTGAGCCAAACTGGTTTCGGCTATTTTTTTGTAATCTTTATCATTGTTTGTAAAATTTATAATTTTTTAATTCGACGTGTCCATTTATTTTATTGGTATTCTTTTCTATTTCTTTTTGTAATTTTGTATTTTCCTTTGTGCTTTATATATATAAATAAACAAATATATATATATTTCATTTATTTTCATTAAGTATAAATTTTTAAAAATATGAAATTACGTTCTCCGGGCGTGACGTCCTGACACGTCCTAATGAAGGAGTACGCGCCCATTACAGGTTGCATCATTAAAAAGGGAACTCCCCGGTTAACAGGTTAAAAAAACTTCACAATATATAATACAAAATGAGCAATGTGACATCATAAGCATTTCAATAACTACTGTATTAACCAAACAGTTATTAAATACCTCAATTTTTTAAAACTTGACATATTTGATCTCTCAGTATCAGCAAATCTATTAAATATGCATCCACTTCAATTTTAGTGATTATTTTCTAGCTGCTAAACCACCTACATAAAGCTTGACATGCTTACTTTCTGTCCATAGACTGCATCTGCTGGCTTTCCATTTGAATCCAATCCCCCGTGGACATAAGAAGAGTTCTTTCCATAAAACCTGTCAAACAGAAATATAATTTACTTGTCATCTTCCTAAGAACAGGTAATAATTTTTCATGTTTGGTACCTAACTGCCTCAGTGGCAGATTCTTGGAAACAAGAATGTGCTTTCTTTTTCATTTTTGTATACAATCATAGATCCATCCCCTCCATGTCAGTAAACACTGCTGAATGGGAATGAATTTGTTCAATGAGGTGAACACTTATATTACAACTCACACCTTCCAGGTTTCAGAGTAGGATGATCATGTTGAGAAGGATCTTGGAGTTAACGTCAGGAAGGGCACTTAAAACAAAAGTCCCTGCTTTCACTCAAGAAGAAATTAGGCAGCTTTAAAATAGATGAGGACATCTATACTCTCCCTAGACTTGGATAGTCCTTTTATATCCAAGAATGCAGGTGAGAAATTCCCATTAAACTCATCATGCAAGTGTATTTTAGTAATTTTTAGTAATGTTTGCTGATGTACTACAAGCTGTAGATTTTAATTTCCATAGCTTTTGCATTTTTCTCTATCCTTGACTGCTGTGTCTCATTACAATACTATACTGGATCAGGAAAGTCATCCCACGGTTAACCATCCTATAAGGATTTCTTAATATCTGTACTTTACATAAATAATTTTTCACAAATGAGTCCATTATGTACCATTCTATATCTTGACTCTACCTCCCCCACCCCCTAAAGGGGAAAGATCTGAGCCCACAAGACTCCAAGTATACCTTATAATTGTTAGTTATTTAAAAGGTTGCACGTCAGCCAGTGAAATCAATTCACTGCTGGTAAGCCACTGTTCCTATCTCAGAAATAAAATGTGGAAAAAAAAGGATGTCTTAGAATCAATAAATATCAATATTGATAAGAAATATAGGAATGTACTTGGTTAGTTTCTTTCAACTCCTGCTTCTTAAATTCAAATTTACCTAACTTCTAAGGGTACAGAACGAAATTTTGACCTAAAACACAACAAAAGGCCCAGCCAGTGTTGCTCAGTGATTGAGGGTGGACCCATGTACCAAGAGTTGTTGGCAATTTGATTTTTGGTGAGGACACATGCCTGGGTTTTTGGCTTGATCTCCTACGAGGGGCATGCAGGAGGCAGCCAATTGATGTTATCACTCATTGATGTTTCTATCTCCCTTTCCTTTCCTCTGTCTCATTAAAAATAAATAAAAAATAAAAAAGCCGAAACTGGTTTGGCTCAGTGGACAGAGTGTCAGCCTGCAGACTGAAAGGTCCCAGGTTTGATTCCGGTGAAGGACATGTACCTTGGTTGTGGGCACATCCCTAGTAGAGGGTGTGCAAGAGGCAGCTGATCGATGATTCTCTCTCATCGATGTTTCTAACTCTGCCCCTCTCTCATCCTCAAAAAAAAAAAAAAAAAAAATCCTCAAAATTATTAGCATGTTTTTACTTCCATGTTTATTTCATGTTTTGATTTATAACAAGTATGTATTATTTCCACTAAAAAGAGGCCCTAATTTTTAAAAGCATAGCAACACTAAGAAGCAACCAATTGATATGTCTCTCTCAAGTTGTTTCTATCACTCTCTAGTACCCTAGTACCTCGCCTCCCTTATTTCACTCTCTAGAAATAAATGGAAAAAAATATCCTTGGATGACAATTAAAAAATTATCAATATGCTAGGGGCCTGGTGCACAAATTATGCACAGGTGGGGTCCCTCAGCCTGACTGATGATCAAAGCCTATAGGGGGCTAGGCAGAGAGTGGGACAGCAGGAGGTTGTTTGGACAGGGAGCAGAGGGGTCATAGGAGGTTGGCGGGCTGGCAACCCAATTGGGGCCATGGGGGGTGATCGCTGGCAGGGGGGAGGAACTGCAAGAGGTGGCACTGGACTGCCCATTTTGGTCAATGCCCGCAGGCTATGCCAAGGACCCCACTGGTGCACAAATCCATGCACCAGGCCTCTAGTAATAGTATTTGTATATCCTATTTAAAATGGTATCATTTTAACAACCACAATTTATTGGCACTTATATAAAGCACCATTAGACATTCTGACTTGGGGTGATAAGCACACAATACAATATACAAATGATGTATTGTAGAATTATATACCTGGAACCTATATAATTTCATTAACCCATATCACCCCAATAAACTCAATGAAAAGAAAGCATTACTATGCAACAACCCTACAGGTGAATAAGAGAATTTCAAGGGTAAATAACCACATACTAAAAAACAGCATTTGAAGAACTTTTACCTGTGCAGCATGTCTGGGGCCTGGTTCAGCAGAGTGTAATACTGTCTCACGAATTCCCGCCCGACCAGCAGGGGACTAGGCTTCTCCATAACCATTGCTTTGGTCAATTCAACCTGGAAAAAAAACAGTTAAATTTGTTGAACAGGAAAGATCAAGTACAAAAGAAAAAGTAGCAGGGGAGAAAATAATCATTTAGCTAAAACCAACTCAAAAGTAAAGACAAGATTACTTCAGAAGTTGTTGGTTTTAAAAAGAAATAATTACCTGTATTATAAAAACAAAACACACAGACCAGGTGATATTTTATACATTGAAATTTATTGTAATCAGAGAAATACTGGGAGGGGGAGAAAAATCACTATAAAGAATTAATTCATTGCCCTAAGCAATTTGGCTCAGTGGACAGAGCATTAGCCTACAGACTGAAGGGTCCCAGGGTCCCAGGATCAGTTTGGTCAAAGGCACGTATTTTGGTTGAGGGCACATCTCCAATAAGGGATGTGCAGGAGGCAGCTGATCGATGTTTTATCTCTCCCATTGATGTTTCTAACTCTCTATCCCTCTCCCTTCCTCTCTGTAAAAAAAATTAAAATGTATATAATTCATCATTATTTCCAATATTCAATATTTTAACTGAATATAAGAAACTCAAAGACACATATTTCCATCCTACCGCAATTTTCCAAATTAATTTAACCGAGAGTATTCGAGTTATAAAATACAAACATATTCTTATTTATGGAACTATTTCATTTGAGGATGATAAAATCAAACAAATACAACTTAAGACATATGGGCACATACTATCACATTTTTAATCAAACTAAGTCAGAGAAATATTTGGTATCTTTAAAAACAAATTCTAAATATGCTCAATTTATTCTATAATGGAACCAAAAATAATCTAAAAATAATGTGGGTAAAAAAAAAAAAAATGTTCTACAGACAGCTTATACAACTAAATAAAAGGAAGATGAATGATCCAATTAAAAAATGGGCAATGGACCTAAATAGAATATTTTCAAAAGAAGACAGAAGGAAGGCCAAAAGACACATGAAAACATGCTCAAAGTCACTAATTATCAGAGAAATGCAAATCAAAACAACAATGCGGTACCATCTCACACCTGTCAGAACGGCCAACATCATCAACAAATCAACAAATGACAAGTTTTGGCGAGATTGGGAAGAAAAAGGAACCCTCTTGCACTGCTGTGGGAATGCAGACTGGTGCAACCACTGTGGAGAACAGTGTGGAGTTTCCTCAAAAAACTGAAAATGGAACTCCCATTTGACCCAGTAATCCCACTCCTAGGAATATATCCCAAGAAACTAGAAACACCAATCAGAAAGGATATATGCACCCCTATGTTCATAGCAGCAAAATCTACAATAGCCAGAATTTGGAAACAGCCTAGGTGCCCGTCAGCAGATGATTGGATCCCAAAACTATGGTACATCTACACAATGGAATACTAGGCTGCCATAAAAAAGGAATTCTCAACATTTGCAGCAACCTGGATGGAATTGGAGAACATCATGCTGAGTGAAATAAGCCAATCAATGAAAGAGAAACACCACATGACCTCACTCATTTATGGATAATAAAGAACATTATAAACTGATGAACCAAAAGATAGATATAGAGACAATAAGCAACAAGCAGACTGTCAAATTACCGTGGGGAGGGGAGGGAGATTTGGGGGAGATAATAGATCAACAGAAGGACTTGTATACATGCATATAAGTACAACCAATAGACATAAAACTCTGGGGAGGGAAGGTATGTATGGGAGGGAGGGGGGCAAAAAAAAAAAATCAATAAAATATATTAAAATAAATAAACAAAATTTTTTAAAAAGTTAAGATGTTTTTACTCAACAAAATAATCCCTATCACATCCAAATTATCATTATGATTTAAAGTTAGTAACTTTGAGCATTAAGAAAGGCACATGACAGATACTAAGTCCACAATTATTGTCAGTTATTATTTTAAAAGAACTTTAAGGATATTATTTTCTAATCATTCTACTGTACATCTGAAACTAATACAAAGTAATATTGAAAGTAAACTTATTGAAAAAAGTTTCAAGCCAAAACCGGTTTGGCTCAGTGGTAGAGCGCGTCGGTCTGCGAACTGAAAGGTTCAGTCCCCAGTGGGGAAAGGGGGTGGGGGGGGGCCGTGCAACAGGCAGCCAAAGTTTCCCTCTCATCATTGATGTTTCTGTCTCTCTTCCTCTCCCTTTCTCCCTTAAATTTATATATAATACATTAAAAATAAAAAACCTAAATAAAAAAACGTATATGCAAAGTGGACTGAGTTTGGTTTGTCAATTCATGAATAAGCAGTTTGTGGAGATATATTTATCCTCACCCACTCCATTTCCTCATTTTTTTTCTTTTCCCTTTTTTTTAAACTTTATTTTTAGTGTTGACATTACAGATGTGTCCATCCTTATTATTCTTAAATCTGTCCCACTTACTTGTTTCACAAGAATGTAAGAAATTTGTTGAAGGCCTGCTCTGCATTTTCCCCAAATTACAGCCACTATGAAATAGCTTCCCAGTCATACTGAAGAGTAGTTTGCCTGCAGGCATAGTTATGAGGTTATCAGTAACAAGAATCTGGATCCCAAATCTTAAACTAATAAACTTAAAGTAGACTAACCTAAGGCAGAATGTGAAATTGCTATATTTTTTCCCCTGGCTTTTGGTCCAGAAAAAGATAATTCCAGATGTTTTTACTGATCCTAGATTCTTCAGTACTTACAGATTACAGTTGGATATTAAAGGTTCTTAATAGTCACCTAGCTATAATTTCTGAGTTCTATAATAAGATTTCCCATTACTTACTTAGACCATAGCGACTACACTTTATATATTAGAGTTCCTATGTAAATTTTCCTTTCTTAAAAGGTCTTAGCTTCTCACACTAGCTGGTTTGATTCAGTTAATAGAGCATCAACCTGCAGATGGATCCTGGGTTCCCAAAGGATCCTGGGTTCAATTCCAGTCAAGGGCAAATTCCTTGGTTGTAGGCTCCACCCTGGCCCTGGTCAGGAGTCCTGCAAAAGGCAACCAATGGATGCTTCTCTCATATCAATGTTTCTGTCCTTCCCTCTCTCTCTTCCATTCTTGCTTAAAAAAAAAAAAAAAAAAAAAAAAAAAAAATCAATGGAAAAATATACTTAGGTGAGAATTAACAAAAACAAAAACAATCCTATATAATATAGAGGTATTATTCAAATTGACCATCACGCCAGCATACAAGATGGCAGCCTCCATGTGGACACAAGATAGCCAGCAGGAGAAGGTAGTTGGGAGGGACCAGGCCTGCAGGAGAGGACAGTTGTGGTTCCATTAAAATGAAAGCTTTGGCTCTGGAAGTCTCTCCTTTAAGCACTTCTATAATAAACATTGGACAATGAACCCAAGGGAAACTAGCAGTATTTAAAAATAATATTCTTGGCAATTATTTCTCAATAAAACTGGGAGAAAAATTATATCCATGTGATTAAAATATATATTTTAGTAGAAAGCAACTATATTGCTTCATTGTTCAAAAAAGGGGCCGATTTCAAAATTAAAATATCAAAGACTGCCGAAACGGGTTTGGCTCAGTGGTAGAGCGTTGGTCTGCGGACTGAGGGGTCCCGAGTTCGATTCCAGTCAAGGGCATGTATGTTGGTTGCGGGCATATACCCGGTGGGGGGTGTGCAAGAGGCGGCTGGTCGGTGTTTCTCTCTGGATGTTTCTAGCTCTCTCTCTCTCTCTACCTTCCTCTCTGTTAAAAATCAATAAAATATATTTTTTTTAAAGTGGAAAAAAAAAAAAAACCATCAACAAAACAGTAAGAAAGCCCACTGCATGGGAAAACACATTGGCCAGTGTTATTTCCAATAAGGTTTTAATCTCCAATATTTGCAGGGAACTCATACAACTTAACAAAAAGAAAATAAACAATCCAATCAAAAAATGGGCAAAGGAATTTAATAGACACTTTTCGAAAGAGAACATTCAAAAAGCCAAGAGACACATGAAACATGCTCAAAATCATTAATCATCCAAGATATATAAATCAAAACAAGGAGGTACCACTTCACACCTGTCAGAATGACTATCATCAACAAATCACCAGTGCTGGAGAGGATGTGGAGAAAAAGAAACCGTCCTTCACTGCTAATGGGAATGCAGACTGGTGTAGCCATTGTGGAAAACAATATAGCGTTTCCGCAAAAATGGAACTACCATATGACCCAGTAATTCCACTTCTAGGAATATATGCCAAGAAAACAGAAACACTAATCAAAAAGAATACATACACCCATATGTTCATAGCATCACAATTTACAAGGGCTAAGATTTGGAAACAGCTTAAGTGCCCATCAGCAGATGAGTGAATTAGAAAACTATGGTACATTTATACAATGGAATACTACACTGCTATAAAGAAGGAATTCTTACCATTTGCAGCAGTATGGATGGAAAGGAGGAGAGCATTATGCTTAGTGAAATAAGCCAGGCAGTGAAAGAAAAATACATGATCTCACTCATTTATGGATGATAAACATAACCTAATGAATAAAAAGATAGATACAGAGGCAGAGAAGCATGAACAGACTGTCAAATTATAGCTAGAAGGCTGGGGAGTGTTGGGGGTGGCGGGGAAGGTTAGAGATCAACCGAAGGACTTATATGCATGCATATAAGCATAAACAATGGACACAAGACACTGGGGGGTGGAGTGAAGGCATGTGCAGGGGAGGCCAGGACAAGGTCAATGGGGGGAAAAAGAAGACATATGTACTATTTGTAATACTTTAAAGAATTTTTTAAATATATTTTATTGATTTTTTACAGAGAGGAAGGGAGAGAGAGAGCAAGCTAGAAACGTCGATGAGAGAGAAACATCTACCAGCTGCCTTTTGCACACCCCCTACTGGGAATGTGTCCACAACCAACGTACATGCCCCTGACTGGAATCGAACTTGGGACCTTTCAGTCCGCAGACCGACACTCTACTACTGAGCCAAACTGGTTTCAGCTATTTGTAATACTTTAAACAATAAAATAAAATGTAAATAAATAATATT